TAATTTCACATAAACATGTCACGTCACCTAAGGGGTCAAATACACATAATATAAACATTACAAGAAAGAATCTAATTTTTTTTTACAGAAAGTAAATCAAAATTTGTTCACATTATAGAGATAAAGTGTATTTAACCGTAATTACATTTTAATTTTTAATGACACAACCAGTTCATTATATCCTTATAACTTAGTGCTTATCTTGCATGCCAAATATTTACATTCATGTTTGAGATTTTGTATCCTCACTCATATAAGTGGTGTGGGTGGTTAATTTTTATTATGCTACTTTCTAGACTTGTGATCTATTTAAGTTGAGGGAAAGGGATTCTCTAACGTTCATGCGGGAACGTTAGAGTAACTTTCACAATTTTTCAATTGTATGTCTATCAAAACCCTCAAACGATTTCACATGTTTTTCAATAATTAAAACTGAAATTGAGAGAGGATTGCAATCAGAATTGCTGAGAATGATAAAATCTAAAAATCATCAAATCGCATCCTTTTATCGTGTATAAAGAAGATGAAGAAACAAAATATTTTTAGACCGTAATTTACTTTTAGGATATAATGTATAAGTTGATAGTTTGTTTTTCAAGTTCAAGTAAGAGGATCAATTTATGATCTCTACCAATGTAATGAAATTTTATAAATAAACAAATTCTCACTTGATTTTCATTATAATATACAATGTTAAATTGTTACTGTCATATCATTCATGAGACCTTTGTTAATGCCACAAGTTCTTAATGTTACAAATTTGACATACTGTCATATAGAATTTTGTCTTGAATATATGTTATAAGTCTTAAGTTGTTGTCCATTTTGGTTACAAAATCCTGCTTGAAATTATACCATCATAAGTATTGCGAAGCTAAACTGATCCTTTTATGTTTGAGGGAGCTCATAAAGTGGAGGTGTTGAATAAGATATGACATCGATCAAACCACTTGTTAATGCTTTTTCCTAATATGAATATGTAAAATTAAAATAAGTAATAATACATGTAAGTTTCAAACAAATGTTATCCACATCAACTTAAATACATGTGATACTTGGTTGTGTGGCTTTCTTATATTGTTTATGTGTGTAGCACCCCAAAATTTGCCCTTCTGTTTTAACCTGGACTGCCTTTTGTTTCCTTGCATTTTCGCATTTCTGCATATCATAGCATCTGTTCTTGAGGCATGGGATCTAGGCGTTTCTGTGTCTCAGGGCTCTTTTAGTGCAAGAGACTGAACAGCGAGCGTCAGAAGCTCTGGCATTTATTTTGCCCGACAATCGAGCAACATTCAAATTATCTCAAGCGTTCTCACGGTTATAATATTCAAGAGCAAGTTTATGAGGCTTAACTAGGCTCAGAACGGGTGAAAACAGACAAATATGCAGGTTTCCCTCCAAAAAGCGCCAAAATTCAAATTTTCAAGGTGTTAATCGATTAAGTCAAATGGTTAACCGATTAACCAAGTCAAAATCAGGTCAAATTCAAATTTTCAAGGTGTTAAACGATTAACCCATAGGGTTAACCGATTAACCAAGGCAAATTTTGCCTCTGCACGTGAGTTTTCAAAGGCAGCCACTTTGGGGGTCCATTTTGATCACTTGAGAAATTAATTTTACACCAAATGAAGGATCTAGAATCACTTTGAATTTGGATTAGTTTTCAAATTAACTCAAATTCCCTCCAATTTTCCATTCCTAATCCCATTCCAATTTTCACAAACCACACTCCAAACCACCATTTTACTCCTAACCAAGAGCATATTTAAATGATTTGCTATAAACCTCACACACACAATCCTCATAATTCCATTTCATTTTCAGAATTCACTCTCATTCTCTCAACTTTTCCATCTCTCAAACTCCACTAAAGCTCTTCTCACCTTGAATTCTTTGATTCTCCATTGGAATCATTGAATTCTAGAGCTAAAACCTTCATCCTTCATCCTTATCATCTCCAATTCTCCATTCAAATTTCGTGCTATTGTGGATCTGAATTTTGAAGTTGATCGAGAGGAGCTTATTTGGATAATTCTTGCTTAATTTTGGTGGATCTTCATTTCTACTACAAGTAACCACTTGGATCTTGAAGGATTTCTGAATTTCTTGCTTGGATCTGCTAATTGAAGTTGAATCAACAATTACCAAAGCAAATCTCCGCTTTGTAGGTTGGAATTCTAGATTCGTTGCTATTTTGAGCTTATTTTGCATATTCAATGTGGATCTTCATTTTTTATTGACTTTTGGTTGATTTGATCCATGTGATTTGAGATCTTGATGTTTGAACATGTTTACATGTTGATTGGATCGCTATTTTCTGGTTTAAATTCATGCATAAGTGATTATACAATCATCTAGATTATTGAAGAAGTGATTAATTGCTGAAAAGTGCTTTTGAGTTGTTGTTTTCTGCTTCTGGTACAATGTTAATCGGTTAATCAGTTGCAGTGCAAACTGGTTAATCGATTAACTAGTGCGAATTTTCAAATTTTCAAACATTTTCAACTGGTTAATCGGTTAACCATATGTGTTAACCGATTAACACTGTCCCGGAATGTCATATTTGCTATTTTTCAAGCTTGTTTTGGTGCTATCTCATTTTGAATCTTCGTGGATTGATATGATGCATTTGGAGTGAGATGTTTTGGATATGTGTTGCTGTCCTTGATTGTTTAATCATGATTTCTTCGACACGCATGTTCGGTTTCCACTTGAATGCATACTTTTATGGACGTTGTTCAAAGTGATGAGTGTTCATTTGTTTTGCTTGAGTTTGAAGAATTATTTGGTTGAGATGTGCTTGTGGTGGCTGCTGTCCCACACTTTTTCCTCCCACTTTTCTTCGATGATTGATGGTCGATGGTCGTAGGAGCTCGTTTCTACTATTTCATCTCACTTTTGCTTGGATTTGTTTAAGTTCTTTTTCTTGCATTCCTCTATTGTTTCGCATCTCTTTGCTTGAATTTAAGAGGTTGAGATGTGCTTATGGTGGCTGTTGTCCCACACTTTTTTCCTCCCTCTTTTCTTTGTGTTGTATTTCATGTTTGCATCTCTTTCTTCCTTCTCACTTGTGATTGATTTATCTTGTGTTTTCTTGGTCTTTTGTCATGATCCCTTAGGATTCCTAGTCCCTCGGGAGTAAGAGAGACATTAAGTGTTCAATCCAAGCATGCTAACATTAGGATAGAATTTCCCTTTCAATCCCAACTTTAGGTCCATTTTGCATGACAATGTTAGGGGCGAGTTTCCCTTAGACCTTATGTGCGTCTCTCTTCTCATCTCAAAACACATTCTAACTCATCTAATAAACACGATGAATGGTGTACGCTACGAGCCTTAAGCACATAGGAAATGACGAGTGAGGGGTCTCCTCTCGCTTGTCTAGAGTGTTTAGTGTACGTCCCGTCTGGGGGCGATATGCGACACATTCGTTCCTATGTCATAGTCTTTAGTGCAACGTGAATCACAAAACAATCAATTCACTTCACTAAAAAACACAAACAAAACATCAAACATTTTTATCTTTCGGGATTAATTGAAAACCATTTTCAGAAAGAGTGTTGTTAACTCTTGGTTCTACCGCAAACAGGAATTGTCCCAACTGCTAGAACGAAGGTTTAACCCTACTCGATTAAAACACTTGAACCAATATGTGGTCGTGTCATCCCGAACTACGTTTGCTCTAATTTCTCATACCAGATGAGGATACGTAGGCACAAGACGGTGATGTCTTGGCGAGCAACCTTCCCCCCTTCACCCGTAGTTTTCCGAACTACATTGACTCTGACTTTCCCATTGCACAAGGGAATACATAGGCATAGAGCGGTGGTGCTCTATCGAGTCTCTTTTCTTTTCTTTTGTCCTGTGAGCCTGTAGCTTAGATAGATTAACACACCCTTTGACTAGACAACAAGCGTGGATCCTGTTGAGTACAACAGACGTGAGGGGTGCTAATACCTTCCCCTTGCGTAACTGACTCCCAAACCCAAGATTTGGTTGCAATGACCTTGTCTTTTCCCTTTTTCGTAGGTTTTCTATGATCGTTTCCTTTCCCTCTCTTTGGGATAAATAACGAACGGTGGAGACTCTTCTATTTTTCCACTGGGTGTTTTTCGCAGTTGCGGCAATGCGCGCGCGCGCTTTTGTCATTAATATTATTGGAGACATATCATATTTTAAACTTGCAAGCTTATGCGATAACTCATAATCACAACTTAAATCATTTCCTCGCTTCTCCTTAATAACTCGCTCAAAGTATTTGAATAATTGCATGGTATCCACATTCTATTTCACATAATATTTGAAGTTAGCACTTAGACTTTCACTAACTTATGTACTTTGCATACCAAGTGTGAATGCTTTCTTCATGTAGCATGAAGCCCATTTTCTTTTAATAGAATAAACAAATTTGATCCAATTATCTTCATGAAAATTATAGTTATTGACCAAATCGGCCCAAGCTATCTTAAAATCTGCTTCATCGTCAAATTCAAACATGCATTTTTTTTAAATATCTTTAAAAAAAGCTTCCACCCTTCATCAAATTCCCAAGGTGTTTGATTATGTTCTGTAACAAGTTCCAAGTGCATAAACCATGGTGAGTCTCAGACATCACTTCAGCAAGTGCTCTAGCCATTGCTTGATCATGGCCGATAAAGAAATTCTTTGGTTTTTTATGGCTATGTGCCTATAAGAATGTATCAAATAACCATTTAAATGAATATATTGTCTCGTCATACAATAATGTTGCACCAAAAATGACAGAACGTCTATAATGATTGAAACTCGAAAATAGAGCGAGTGGTCTATTAGCATGGTTTGTACAATATGTAGTGTCCAATGACATCACATCACCAAAGTATCTGTAATGTAAGACCTTATTTGCATCACACTAAAACACATTTGTGATTTGTTCGTCTACACCCATCTGATATGCATGAAAATACAATGGATTATTTAACAATTTCCGCTTAAAGTATTGTGAAAGACATACAATATCATCATACACCATGCTTCTTTGTCTTCTTGTATTGAGATAAAAAATTTATACCCAGACGTGTATATTCAAGATTAGAACTATGTCGCGCCTGTGTGCACATAAGTTGAAATGTTGACTTTTGTCTTAATCCAGAGTCATCAACTAAATCAATTTCATATGTTTGGACCTCGGTTATCTTTCTATGTGATGCTAGCATGTATGTGGTCTCTAGTTGTTGCATAAAGTGGTTATGATCCTCTATGAATTTGCGAATAATAAATTTTTCATTCTTTAATACAATAGAAATCCTTGCTTTGTAATTAGTTATAGTTTCAACTCTACGACTATTAACAAAAGCATCTCTCTTGTCTTCATGTCGTAGTCCTTCCTCGCAACAAACAAACCTATATGATGATATAGAACCATTTTTTTTATTCTTGTTCACATAATGTTTTCTAACGCCAAAGCCACCGTGTGCACCATATGCGTGCCAAAATTGAAAAGTTGTCTCTGATGAATCAAATTTCATATCAATCATTAGCTTCCAATCAATATTTGTAGATGTCATTTTTTAATCATAAATTTACCATAAAAACCTGAAAATTTTGAATAATATAATTAAATAATATAGATGAATAAAATAATTACACACACCTAGAAATTAAATACAGCGAGTTTTGTTTTGTCTAATTGATGAAAAAAATTGAAAACAAAGTCAAGAGACAATATGTCAAGTTTTTTTTTTAATCAACTAGAAAAATAGTTAGAAATATTATGTGGTTGAAAAATGTTGAAAGTCACTCTAACGTTCCCGTGTGAATATGATACAAAAATCTGTTTCCTTAAGTTGAGTGTTTATAAAGACTATTTCTTAATGCACTTTATATGTTTCTAGAGCACCATATGGATTTCCACATATGCCCCCTGATTTCGGAGATACATCTCCGAGTGCACCTTAAATTCGGTGAATGTTGAAATATTCTGGAGATATATATCCGGAACAATTTAGAGCTTAACTTCACAGTTTGTTCAACACAAAACACCAAACTCACTCAATTTCATCTACTGTCACAAGCATCAAATTTCTTCAAGCAAGGCGTCATAGGAACTAAAAGGAACACCAAGCATCATCTCTAATATCGGAAACAACATCTGAATTATCAATTTCACGTAAGTTTTTCGAGTTTTCGGTAAATATTCGAGTTTTAGTGTAAATGTGTAAAAATCAGTGATTATGGGTAGAAATGAGTACAAATCACAAGAACATAGTTTAAGTCTACTGTATGACTTGTTTGTTGGCTCAAAATAGCTATCAAAATTTTTTTCTTTCACATTGCAAGAGGTATATTATGCCATTGTCGCGATGTCTGAGTTGCAGAATAGTTCGGACATACATCTCCAGAAGTGTTCAGAGTTTCATATCCTCTAAGATATTTCGGAGATGCATCTCTAGAAGTATTCAAAGTAAAAAATTTTAAGGTGTTTCAGGAGATGCATCTCCAGAAGTATCTAGTCTATTTTTTATTTTTTATTTTCTTGTTTTTTTTGTGTTATCTGCACTAATGATATAACGTAATTTACCTTACAGATATTATGGCTGATAGATTTGACAGACTAAGTCATGGCTGGGTTGCCTAACACGCATCTGTTTAGAAGGAGTTGAGCCATCGGGTTCTAGAGGCAGCAGGTACATCTGGTCAGGCAGATGCGTCGACTTCTGGGGCGCAGTCTACTCCCGGGGCTCGGCCTTCACCTCAGGCCACTTCATCTCAAGCCACTCCACCTTATTCTTCTTCTTCTCATAGGAGATAGGATTCACCAGTTGGCGCGTGACTTCCCCCATCCTCCCGCAAGTGTCTTGATTCACCAGTGTCACCTCCTGTTGATCTAGTGCCACCTCCCGCTCATGACTCTGTTAATCTAATGCCACCTCTAGAGGGTGAGGTTGTTGAGGATACCGAGCCATAGAGATTCGAAAAAGGTCCATCTGATATGTCCTTACTTCCTCTATATCCAGACCACACTACAAGACATATCTGGGATGGAGAGGTAGCATTAGTCTTATTTTTAATTTATTTTTTACATTAATTTAAATTGCTGACATTAATTATTGTTGACATTGATTATTTCTGGAAAATAGCATGTGCATGATCCCTAGAAGTTTTTGAACCATGGTAGGAAGATTGTTGGCTTATCTCAATCGAATGAGGAGTGGTTTCAGTCAGTTCTAACCATATATGGGTTGAGGGACCTTTGCATGGCCAGTTACACTCAGTCAACCACGGGATGCTTAATGCATTTATGGAGAGATGACATTCTAAGACGTCTTCTTTTCATATCTTGCATGGTGAGATGTCTATCACACTGAACAATGTCTCGTGTTTGTTACATATTCCGATCAGGGGGATATTCCTCAATCATGGTAGGATGCCCAAAGACGAGGCAGTCGAGATAATGGTAGAGCATCTAGGGGATGACCTAGGGAAGGCGATTGAGGAGGTGGATAGGACCAGAAGTGCTCATGCTAGGTTTGAGTTCCTGAAGGATAGATATGAAGAGGAGATCATTGCTGCAGAGGTGGATGATGGTGATGTTGAGCAGGGGGCAGTATACAGGGCTCGTGCTTTGAGGCCATATTTTCTTTTTTTTTGGTTGGCACTTGCATTTTTTGGACACGAGTGCCACCTATACTAATGTTGCATAGCTCCAGTACTTCTTAGATATCACTCGGATTCATGAGTACAACTGGGGGTGATATGCCTGGCCTATCTGTATTCAAAGTTGAGAACCAGACGGTCGAGCCTTTCAAAGTCTATCTTGATCGCTTGGTTGCTGAAGACATCCACTTCAACAGCTACGTGGATCACCATTAGACGCAGCCATTTGACGACATATCTCTATACTTTGGATGACTGGCCCCAGACACCCTATTGTCTCTGCTCCTCATCTTCCTGAGCGCATCATGCGGTAGTTTGAGTACAACCAGACTATCCCCAGACTCCCTATTGTCTCTGCTCCTTCTGCCTTATCTTGTAGACACATAGAGGAGATGTTTGTTGTAACACCCTAATTTTTAGTAATTATTTATTTATATTAATTAATTGAGTGATTTTGTGCATAACTAATTTATTTTATTTTATTGAATTATTTAATTTAATTTATTTATTTTATTTGGTAGAAATAAGTAATTGGACCTTAAATTGAGAATGTGAAGAGTAAAGATGGGGTATGATTAGTAAGCCCATTAGTTACTATAATTAGTTGTTATAAGGGTTTTATATATAAGGAGAAAAATATAGTTAATGAGGAAAAAGAGAAAAATAAGTTATCATAGAGAAAAAGAAAAAGGGAAAATAGGAGAAAAAACCTAAGGAGAAAACTCAAGAGTTCATCAAGAAATCAAGGTAAGGGTGGGTCTTTACATGGTTATGGGATTGTATGATAGTGTATAATGGGTAGTATCATATTTAGGATAAAAATCCCTAATTTCCATGGTGGTTGTTATATGATGATTATAAGATGAATTTGTGTGCATTATATGTATGTATTCTTTTTCTTTTTTTTGAGAATTGAACACATATCCATCAATTTCAAAGGTTTTAAGCATAATCTTAAAACAATGATTAGATGGTTTAATTGTGTTAAAATTGTAAATCAACTTGAGATGATTACAGTATTGGATGAATTATAATTTTTTGAGAGTTTGGGTTTTTACAGAATCAAATCGGAGGTCTGGAAGGTCTCCAACGGTGAAAAACGCAGAAAATTATGCATACTGTTCGTCACGACTGTTCATGTTTTCGGTCGAAATCGTTTTGGACGTAACTTTTGATTCGTAAGTTTGTTTTGGTCCTCGTTCGAAGCATTGGAAAGCTAATGAATATGGCTATAACATAGTATAGATAAGAGAATTGGTTTCACAATATTTTTATATCTAATATGTTTAGGAAGTCAATTATGTATATGTTCTATTAATGGATTGTTGTGTTGTTTGTTGCCGGTTGTGAAATTATTTGTGGATAATTTATCAAATACTTGTGTGTGTGCTTGTATAAGTATAATTTGGATGTGAAAACATTAAATACATGATAGTTATTGATTTTTGTAATGATAATACAGTTGCGATTGTATTTTAAAATGTGTTGTATACCATTTGAATAGTGAATTTTATTATTGATGATGAATTAATTATTCTATGATTACTCGATAATGTGTGTTGTGTGTATTGAGATTGAATTGTTTTGATACTTTGTGTATTATTTACTAAGTATAGTGGTAATGTTTGAAGTAAGAATGTTATGATTATGAAAATGTGATTATTGATGATGGCCTTTGTGACATGAAAATATTGTATAAATGAATATCAATGTATGTGGTAAGTAATTCATTGTGTTGAATTACGTGTATACATATGTTTGTCATGATTCAGTTATCATGGTTTGCATTGCATAAGACTTGGACAAGAGTCATAATCACTAGGGTAGAATGACTGAGATGTCGTTCCTGGTGAGGTATAAGTGATATAGTCATGTACACTGGGGTAGAATGACTAAGATGTCGTTCCTAGTCGTGTACTCACTAGGGTAGAATGACTAAGATATCGTTTCTAGTGCGGTATAAGTTATATAGTCGTACGCACTGGGGTAGAATGACTAAGATGTCGTTCCTAGTGGGGTAATCACTGAGGTAGAATGACTGAGATGTCGTTCCTAGTGGGGTATAAGCGATGTATCCCATAATTTTGAATGGGAATTGATGAGAATTGATGGGTTCTATATGAACCAAATGGTTGAAATATGAGATTATGCGAAATATGAGATTATGCGAAATATGTTAAATATGTGAAATTGACTAAGATGCCAGTTGCATTGTGTTGCATTGTTATTGCATTGTGGTTGAAATATGAGATTATGCGAAATATGTAAAATTGATGAATTGGTGAAATTGTGGGTTTGTGAGTATGTACTTATGAATAGTATGGTAACTTGAGTGATAATATATTGATGAAACTTTTGAAGTGTGAGAATAATTGTGATTATGTTTGTATGCCTTAAATTATATATTATCTTATAATTTCAATAATTATGTGAATTCTCACCCTTCTGTTGGAATGATGTTTTGTACGACATCGCTCAGGTACCGAGGAGTAGAGTTGCTTCTAGTGCGAGGTAGCCGTTGGAGTAGCTGATTTAGTTTCTTTATTTATGTTGGATCGATTCGTACTCTGATCATGTAACACTGGGATCGTTTTGATTTATGTTTGAGAGATACTTTATGTACTCTACTTTATTTTGTTATTGTTATTTGAATTATGTGAAGTATAAACTTTTATGACTAAGTGATGATTATGAATGAGTTGATCATGGGGTTTTTATTATGTTAATTTATGATTGAAGTAATTCCGTTGTTACATGCTATGTGAAAGTATATGAAAAACATGAATTTATTTTGAGTGTTATTGAGCATGACAAGTATATGTGTGATGCTTTGGATTATATGTGAGATGCATGATAATTTACTCTGATTATTTATATATATTCTGTGGGGTTTAGAAGGGTGTTACATTTG